TTGTGAATGTGTATATAGTTTTAGCTTTGAGAATACGTATTTAAAATATCTTGTCGATATTTACAAAATGAGTAAATTATGCATTTTGATGCTTGAATGATTGTGAAATATACAAATTGGTATATTATAAATAACGCATTTTGTTGCTTGAATTATTGTGAAATATACAAATTGGTACATTATAAATAATGTACAATTTGCACCCCAAACTATTAAATATTATATAATGTTAACTCAAATTCTAATCTTTTGTCTACGTGACATTTAACCAATATAATCATGTCACGGATGTGTATGTCATGTGTCAAATAAAAATGGTAAATATTTTGTGTATTCTATATAGATGCCATGTGGATGTCATGCGGTATCCATCCATTGGTCGATTTTGGGGATCTTTTTGTCTATGCAAAAGGAAATACATTCTTTTTAATTAACATAGAAAAAGATATTGATAATTTCATGTAGTATATATATGATGTGATAATATTCGCAAGACGCCACATATCTAAGCTGGTTGGGTTAATAGTTTTAGAATTTGGGTTAACATAGTACATGATTTGATGATTTGAAAATATAAGGTGCAACTTATACATATTTTTCTTCAAGTATCAATCTATATAATTTGTTAAAATTCGGTTACCAAATGTGTAATTAACTCTTACAAAACCTCACTCTTGTTAACAATGAAATAGCTAGTAACATTCTATTTTCATATGGCTCGGATCTTAATCATTTGAAGCTAATATAAGACATTATATATCAATTAGAGTTTTAATTGTTTTGAATTTTAGATTACTAAAATTTGGGTATTTATTTACTAATATAGGTTGGGTTCAGTTAAATTTAGGACTAAATCATTTGAGTCAAATCAACTTTTGCTATTTTCATGTCGAATCAATTAATTTATTTACTCAATAAATGCTATTTCTTACCATGTACTTTCTTCCTTCACATCTGTTGTATAAAGAACATGGGCGATATTGAAAGTAATTAGCAAATTTAAAATTAAAATAGGATCATACTTACTATAAGTTTCATATTTCCCCTTCTTCCTACAAATTACGCGGTAAAGAAAGTTGAGTTGATCTCTTACTCTTAGTCTATTGCAATAGTCTACTTGTTATGGTTGAAAAAGATGCACAATAAATAGTATTATATATTAAGAATTGTAATAATGACAAGCTGCCTAGACTTTTATGTTTTTGCCCAGCACAAGCTGCAAGGACTTGGTCCAACCTCAAAGCAAGTCCATTCCCCACCCATTATAACTAGACATCCTGGCCTACCTTAAGACAGGTACAGAAGCAAGTTCCCACTACTGTTAAATTTACTATTAAATACATAGCAGATTTTGCTCTCCGCCTACCACTACTGGTCTTTGCTTAGATGCCTCTCCATTTTCTTTCTTCGTATTCAAACCAAGCAAAGGTGAAGCCTTGATCATAAATTTTCACTATATGAGATTTTTTTGAACGAAGTTAGGGACAATTAAGTTATTCAAATTTTCATTTTAAAATCATTGTAATGTTAAAAATGAATTATTTATGAGATTAAGATCCAACATCACTTATTTGTCAAGATAGAAACGTATCAATTAAGTTAATCTCTGGGTAGTCAAAATAAGAGGTTTTTCCACTCAGTAAGAATAACTAAAGTCCAATTTTCCAATCCCGTAGCTAGCATTCAACCTTCCCAGTTCAGAGCTTTAGACTGCAAGAGACGACCCAAGTCAATAGGTCAAGTCCATCTCACCGTGCAAAGCACGACGGTCTCCACTTTGCACCACCATCCAACCACACGATGACGCTTCACGATCCTGTGGAGCATCAGTACCAATCATGTCGCGGTTGATGACCAAAGCCAGAAACTAGCATTCCCCTACTGTAATATAAACCATCAATTTATTGTCGAAGCCAAGCTCAAATTCAGCAGTTAAACCTCTCACTTTAGGCTCGTTCCTTTCTTAACTATTCTTTTCCATGGCGAGGTCTCTTCTTATCGTAAGCCTCGCCATGCAGAACCCTTCATTTTCACCTGTACCAGTCAATTTCCTCTTTGCTATTCTATCAGTTTTCTCTGTATTTTCGATCACGGTATTCCTTTGTGCTTCGCACAAAAACAGGGGATTTCAAAGACAGAAAATTAACGAAGAAAGCATGTCAAGTGAAAGGAAGCTGCTGTCAAAGATAAACAGCAACCTTGGAAGTAAAGCTCAGCTGATGGTGAAGATCATTTCTTGGAGAAAAGGGCAGGCAGAGGAGGAAGAAGATTATAACGGAAGTGATGACGCTGTTTGGAGGAAGACAATTATCATGGGAGAACGGTGTCGTCCATTGGATTTTTCAGGGAAGATTTTGTATGATTCTCAAGGAAATCTTCTACCAGCTGATTCTACTCAAGGAGATAACAGAGTTCAAGTCATTCCTTCGGGATAATGTTAAGAGTTTCTTGAGATTTACAACAACATTTTATCCACCATCGGTGTATAGTTATCTGATATTACTGACTCTGTAAATACTGTCTTGTGGCAGATGCGGTTCATACAGGGTGTTGTTATGTTGTGTTATATTGCGCTGTTCTATTTTGTAAATCATAATGTGCTGGCCATATTGAGTGGATTGTATTTAGTGGGAGGGCTTGAGGCAAGTGCATGATGCATTGCCATTTGTGATTTAGGTAGGCCGTTGTTGGTTGCTTTGTATTCTGGAGGTTATAAGCAGGTCTTTTTGGTGTTTTCTACATCAGATTATCAATCATAATCTGGTACCAAAATGGGCAGCAAGTGTGCAGCTCTATTTAGTAATGAAATCTTGCTTCTTCTTTTTTTAAGGTGCACTTGTTAATGCTATCATATTAAATAATATTTCACTAAACTAGCAAATACATTAATAATCGATTATTTCATTCATTTATTATAAAAAATATATATAGCACCTTACCAAATACTTTTAAATCACTCGTTAACAAAAATAAGCAAAAAAAAAAAGAAAAAGAAATTCAAATTTTGATTAGATCAACCTCTACGAAGGTTACAATAGTTAACTCGAATTTTAAATGGTCAATTTTCAATTTTACGGCATCCCGTCTAAGTCCCTTGATGCTCAAACCACATTAATGTCTTGCGTGTGGGTGTATTTATGAAGGGCTAAAGCATTAGTTAGAATCATGTTTAAAAAAAAACGTTTAATTTTTAATTTTATTTTATTTTGATAAAAAGGAGATAACAACTTTGGTTATTAATTTGAGCGTAGAAGATACATGTAATCACATTCAGATTGCATGCACACAAGATCAAGTCAAATTTTGGGAAAATGTGGATATTTTCCCTGTGTGTAAGTATGCACATGGATTAGGTCCAAGTAATATTTTTTGCTTAGATTTTATATCAATTTCATGATACTTAATAAAAAAATTTTCATTTGATTGAAAAAAAAAATCACATTGAGATTGAACCAAATGCTCAAAAATTCCAAATTCTTTTTCTGATTTATTAAATAATATAATTTAGTAGTATGAGAAATACATTGCACACATGCTTAAAACCTATCTACCCATATATTTTTTTATTAAATTGAATCTCTTCGCATTGGTTAAAAGGTAAATGAAAAACAACATTTACATTACATTTAAATTAGCACTTCCCAAGAGGCTTGAATTAATTTAAAAGTTTTGGCTTCTTGGATTTGAATCTTGACGTAGAAGGGGTGAAAACTGTTGGGATTGGTTACTCGTTATTGCATAGTGTAAAATCCGATTAACCTCCATGTGTCATATTGTTGAAATATATTATTCATGGGATGTAATTTGTCATTTGATAAAACAGATAAAGAGAATAAGTTGAAACAATAGTGAGTCAAATTTGATATTTAAGTATATATTAGGAATGCTTAAAGAAAAACTTAGAAAAAACTAAAAAAGATAGTCTACTTACAAGGTTAGCAAGCTTGGTTATCAAGATGCTTTGATCTTGCAAGCGACCTAGATGTTTATGATCTCAATTGCTTAAGAGGAAAGGAATTATCTCTTATTAGTTAACCCATTAATTAAGTATATTTATTGATGCTTTAAATATAAAAATCGTAAAAATGTCAAACATTAGTATATATATATATATATATATATATATCTATATTATTACTATACTGGTACTAACCAACAGTCGAAGTGTTTGACACTATTCTGTTCTTGTATCCACAGGAGCACAGTCCTTTTTGGGTTAATAGTTTGAGGAACTTTTGAGTTCTTTGGCTTCGATTTTCTTTTTGCCCTTTTGGAATTGTCTTTTGCCAACCCTTTTGGTCTTTTAATTTGAAGACCTTTTGGGCCCTTTTCGGACGTATAATATTGTGGTTTCTATCTTTTTATTGGAGTCACATCTATTGGTGTTTTTTTAAGCAGCATAGTTTATTTTGAATGATCTCTGTGTATCACTTTTTAGTTTATAAATTTTATCTTTGGTCCTCATTTGCTTCAAAATATCATTTCCTTTTTCGCAAAATTCTTTTTATTTTCTAAACTTTCCAAATGGCTCAACTCCCCATTGGGAGTTGAACTCATGAAGATGTATTACCTTTTCCATTTTATACATGCATCATTCAACTACAGATTCAAATGTAGCACTTTTCCTATCCATTTCTTGACCTCTGTATGTCTTTATAGATTCATGATAACGACTCTAAATTCTTCCATTATTCAAAATTTCATATTGGATTAAATGTTATTATTTGAGTGCTTTAAAATCATTTTAAACAATGAGATCATTTTTCAGCAAGTAACACTAATTTTGTGAACCATTTAAGATTTTATTCTGACTGACATAGAAATTAAAGTGCCATGTTACAAAAACTACATAGAAAGACCAAATACAACTTCTAACCTCACATACTTGAATATATTACATTGGACACAGTTATTTTTTATACTACAGATAGCATGGTGATTAGAATTGTAAGATAGCAGAAGCATGATATAATGGGAGAGCAACATCGAACAAGCTACACTTAGATGGTAGCAACAGGCATAGAGGATTTAATCCAAACACCATGACCTTCAGAAAAAGCATGGCAAACAGGGATTCCAGGCTTGGTACCAAGCAAGCTAAATGCGGTATGTTTAGGGCTCCAAGCTGAAGTATCCATGTGGCAAACAATGAGAGCATCCACTTTTTCTCCTTTGTCACCAACTAGCGGGACTTTGAAAATCTTGGTCTCAGTGGCATCGTAATGCCACATGTAAATTGCGTAAAGATATTGCAAGGGATGACATGCCACTTTCTTTGGAGACTCAATCTCTCGAGGAGGTTCTAAAATTGTGTAACTCTGCAATGTTGGGGTTGTCATCGTCGGGTGGCTTGTGCTTATTAACTTGAAATCAGACTCCCCGAAAGCATTCTTCAAAAATTCAAGCATGGATTCTGAAGAGGTAGCGCAGATTTTGGTCTCCCCTTTGGCTGGTTCAATTTCACATTTTCTAAGTGTATCTTTAATGGCTTTGCCTTTGGGTGACTCAGGAGAGACTGAGAAGAATTGGAGAATTTTGGAGGTTTCTGATGATGAAAAAGGGATCGAATCAGCTATTTCTCCAGGCAAGATTCCAGGATAAAGAGAAGGGTTTCTGATGGAAAAGAAGGTGCTCAGTTTCCTCCCTACATGGAAAGCACGTACGTCATCTACGGTGAACACGCCTACATCTTCACTTCCAATGTCATCATCCCCGTGATTTTCCATGCTGTGATGCTCCATCATCTTGGAAGATGGTTGAGACAAACTCTTTTCCTCAGCTTCATCGTCTATATAACCAGATTTATATTTGCTTTCAAGGTCTGTAATGTAAGACCACAAGGAAGAACTCTTTTCCGCAAGTAAACAACCCTACATTTGGATTCATTAAAAATATCAAAAAAATCAAATTCTAAATTTTGATTTTAAGAACAAAATCAAAAAAGTTCGACTGAAATTAAATTTACGACTGCTATTTACTATAGCAAACATATTCCAAAAATTATAAAAAAATCATTTTTGGTCATTTAAAAATTATAAGAATCATTACTGTCATTTTTTATTTCTAAAAAATTATTTTATAAAAATCACATATTTTGATTTCTTTTAAACTTAAAACCTTTTCTGCTTTTAAAATGACAGACAACTAAAAGTGTCAATAAATTCTTTTAAAGGTTAAAACTAAATTTGATGTTCAAAATATATACCCTATATGCTCACTTAAGGATTTCCTAACTTATCCTCTTATTCAATGTGGAATTTCACATGAGGGGTGTTTATGAGGGATTTTGAAGATTAGCTATTACAAGAGAATAGCTTCCTTGGGCCATTTATCAACCAAACAAGGAAAGAAATAATACATAGGAATAGAGGCTATTCTTTTGGCAAATGAAATAATACATAGGAATAGTGGTAAGATCACACTTATCAATTCGGTATTGAACTCACAATCTCTCTAGTACTTATCAATCTTTCAAGCACCAAAACGAGTTATTCGTAAACTTGAACAATTATGGCATTCATTCTTATGGGGCAGGTCTACGTATAAGCATAAGATAGGAGTGACACAATAACCTCAAAGGCTAAAAGTGAAATATTCAAATAAAGCCTTTTTTATTGAAATTAAAAAAAATATTAAAATTTTATTCTTTTAGCTTTTTGAGATGTAAAATTTTTAATTAAAATTTTGTAATTAAATTCTTCTAATATTTCTTTTTTAATTGATAATATAGTCAATCCATTTAACTTTTCTTGGGACATTGTTGATCTTAAATAAGATTTTATTAATTTTAGTTTTGAAAAACTTCTTTCTCCTAAAGTAACACTTATTGGAATTGTTAACATTATTCTATAAGCAATATATGCATTTGGAAAAGAATAGAGTTTTTTTATATGATTAAGTATATCAATTGGACTGTTTTCTTCCGGTCCATTTATATATCTCGGCTTATGTCCAATTGAGAGATGTTTTATAGCTCGCCCTTTCTCAAGTCTCCCAAGACCACGAATACTCCAAGTGAAGGTAGACATTACAGATAAACAATAAGCAGGGGAGATAAGAGAAACCAAGAGAACTTCATACCTGGTTAGGAATTCCAAATGTTGAAACCATCTTGTGTCTCCTCTTCTAAACCCACAAAAACACTAATCACATCATTGTCGCTTTGGGCAAAGACCAACCTAAACTCCTTCCCCACAACTAAGGTGTCTTCTGCCTCTTGATGATCATAATATTACGCCTGAAAATGTCATTATCCACTTCCAGAGTGACAATTGGATATTTGTGTGGTGTAATAGCCTACTTCTTGATCGTTCGCCTACCAATGCTGCACCTTGGCATCCTCTTTCTGACATGCCTGACCAAGGGGCATTCACCCTCGCTGCCATCCGTAGTTCGACTAGCTTCTGGAACTACAGTTCCTGCCACTTGCTCAATCTTTGCTTCATTGGCCTTACAACCCATGGCATCCTTGTTCTCGTGGCAGACCTCATTATTGGACACACAACCTTCTTAAAGGACTCCAAAACCAGCAGAATAAGAAGTAGCTAGATGGTCTCCATTACCCATGCGATTTAAGCTTTCAATGAGGCAATCCGTAACTTTCCATCATTACGTTACCCCTTCACATGCTCATCCTTGTTTCTTCCCCAATTTCTCTCATTTGCTCAAACAGCACGAGGCTTAACCCGCCTCTATCCTCTTCTTTATGGGCTTCAAGAAAATCAATTTGGCCCAAGCGATTCAAGTTGCACTGAATTACATCTAGCGAGCCATCGATAACTCTTTAAGAATAGGCATTAGCAACTGGCCTTATTTCAGGCCCGAGTGATGGCTTAAGCAGCTCGTGGGAGCCGTTGTGGTGTTAGGTACCAAGCGAGCAACTCCTAATGGCTCGACTTCTTTGATGGTGGGTTAAGGCCTAGTCCATCATACTGTGGGCCATCGTGCCATTCCTGAATTCAAAATTTGAAATCTCTTAGACTCATCATCACCGGAGTCATGGTACCTTCATTGGCGTTGCCCAGAAAAGTGGGCACAAAAGCTATTTGACCGCATGAAGTTGCCGGAGCCCCATCAGCTGGTGGGTCCACAACTTGGGTGTCAACCTTGAGCCTCAGAGCCATTCAACATCCATTAATGGAGAAAGCCCTCCAGTCAAGGATGTGTCTTCCCTCCTCAACCAAAATCAACGCTCTTGCACTATCAAACCGTTGCCACATTGTGCTATCGACTTTAATAAGTCGGCCCCAAATTCCTCCAATTTTATGAAAAGTGGCTTCACTTCAGAGATGCAACTGGAGATTTTAAAAAATCAACCAAACAGGTTTCAATCCTCTCCTTTCCACAACGTGGCGTAAGGAATAATGGGCTCGAACTAATGAGGAAAAAGATCAGGAAAATCTTTTAGAATAATCTTCACTTCCTCCGCATCTTTGAAAGTATCCAGTGCCTTAAGGACCCCGAAGTGCCGAATGGTGATAGGGATTCCCTCTTGACAGAGCTTGGTTTGGATGTTTTTGAGGGGGTAGGTGTCCTTCAACTTAGCAATGGAAGCCCGGAAGTCCTTCTTAACCATTTAGCAACAAGATGTCGGAATGTGTACATTGATGTCCACTACCTCAACTAGCGACTTGACTGTTCTGGTGTTAACAACAGCACCTTTCCCCTGAATCAAGATATCCTTGTATGACCGTTTGTTTTTAGCCTCTGTTTGGTTGAATTAGATCATTTAGTCGGCATGGCTGGAATGGCACCATTCACCGCAATCTTAAGGCCATCAAGGAGGTTCCTGGAACCAAACAAAATGGCCTTTCTCATTTCATCAACTGAACAGTATCTGACAAACCCGGAAACTGGCCTACTATGCCGACTTGCAGAACGTGGTTCCTAGATGAAAGTGTCAACCACAACCCCGAATTCTTGAAAAACATCAGTAAGTTGCCTCCAAGTGACTCGAGGACTTAGGTTGCCAATGTAAACTGAGTAAAGCCTGTTCTTCCATTGCCTATCGAGATAGCGATTGCTTTGCCTGGTCGTCCTTCCACCATAACTCAGTTCACTTACTCTTACCTTCATTGTCCGTACAGTTCGCCGCCTTTTTCAATTCCTTGTTATCATAAGTTGTACTATTTAGTCTAAAAATAATAATTTAAAGTGATTCGACACTTGTAACGATGACATGCGTAAAAAGTGATGAATTTCAAAATTCAATTCCCATTTATCTTTGTCCAAAAAACTTTTAGACCAGACAAATTGGCTTCTTACCAATATACATTTTTGCTAAAAAACAAACATTATACCACAAGATGAAAATATTAGATGCAATTTGCCGCGAAATCTTGTACATTAGACCCAATAAATTTTTCATATATATAGTCTAACTGATTACAGGTTTCTCTTTAGGAAGACCCCTAACATCCACCAACAAAAATATTTTCAAATAAATACATGGCAGATTTACATGGGTTACAGGGGCACCAACAAAAAGTGATAGCTAGTCTTGGTGCTGAACTGCCTTTTGGGTTGCTTGACCTAATGGTTACTCCAATTCTGGCGCTACAATTGGTTGGCTAAACGAATTTCTCCCTCTTCTTGTGGAATAAAACTCACTCGTTTCTGCAAATTTGAAATACAATTGAAAACAGAACTTTAAAATAAATGCAATTAAGGCTGTGCATAGTGAGAATAAAATTTCAAAATGGAAGTTAATTATACATTACATAGGAGTTATTTATTAGGAAATTTCCATTGTTTAGAAAAGTTCAAATCTGTAGACTATTATTAAGCAACATCCTGTTCTTTGTTTTGGGATCAACTTTGAAAAATCATTGAATAAGGCGAAAGCAAAAAAAAAAAAAAAAGTCAAAATTTTATACTATTCCTTTTCTTTTGTTGCAAACAATTTAATTTCTATGTAGACAGGCAATAAACAAAATCAAGAATCATAAATAATTGAATTAGTTTCTTTGAATGTCATTACGAAACGTTGGAGACTCAGCTCACGAGCAAGGCCTAATAGTTAAGATGGAAAATTCAAAAGAAATAGCAAAGAAAATGTATGCACCAGCCTCTCCTTTTTTCTCTTGGAAAACAGGAAAAGAATTAAAAAGAAGAAGAATACTGGAATGATTCAACCTGACCAATACTTGAATACTTGATAGATTCCTGAAAAGGCACTGGTGCTAAAATTTGACCTGATGTTGTACGTACCACTCTAGGCACGAAAAGATTGACTTAAGATATGGAAATTTGGAATACAAATTAAAAATAGATTTAAAAGTCAAATTTGCCTTCTTTCTAAGTTGCTCCCTGTGGCTGATGCTGAGTTAGGAACTGCATCACCATTGCGTTTTTTATCACCATGGAAACTAACTCTAGAATTCATGACCATAACTGTCTTTATCTACTCTTATCTACTTCAGAACCCATCAAATCTAGATAAATACAAATTATTGCCGTAAATCACGGGGAATAGAATTATTCTCTTTCAATTAAACATCAAAGACCATTTTCACTATAAATTTGCTTTTTTGAAAAAAAATACTAGTTTCATTTCATATTGTTCATTCATGTATGCACTTAAATCAAATTAACTTTGATTATATCACATGAAATTAAAATTTTAAAAATAAGTTTTTGGAAACTTCTAACTTCTATATATACTTACGTTTTCAATCTGAAATTTTAATTCTGCATGATATTATATGGAAATATAATGATCAAAAAAAGTTAGCTTTATTTGATCCAAAAATATCAAACATGAAGAAGCAATCAACTTAAAACACTCAAAACCTTCGAATATGTATAACAAGGGGGGGAAATACAAGTAAATGATGACAGTTTTGAGGGACAAATTGTGACCTCGTGAGTTAGTGATGTATACTTTATGATGAAGGAAGACAATGGTTTTGGTTAATGCTTATACATCAAAACAAAAGAAATGTCAGATTAGTTTAATTCTCCAATTGTTCCTTGTTGCCTAAAGAATAATATTCTGGATTTTGGTGAAGTGACTCTATCTGAATTGGAGAGTAATAAATCACACATTTGAAGCTATTCATATTTTGCAGATCCCAAAAGTTGACCAATCTTGTGGCAAACAAAAAAATAAAGTAGCTTGATCGCATGCATTGCACCAAACAAGTTAATTATGTTATTTTAAGGAATGATTTTCCTGCAATTAAGCCCACCAAAATATAAATTTTGCCTTCCAAATTAGCAACATGTAGGGCCAGAAAAACATCCAAAATTCAGGGGTTTAGTATACTTTACATAAGCACTACTTAACATTTTCTTGCAGAACAGTTTACCTAATTTTCGAGGATCTTCTTCGTTTTTTGAAATTACTTGAATTAATTATGATAAATTAAAAAAAAAAGATCAATTTTAAAGGAAATTAACATACCTCCCGTTTGGCCTTAAAATTTTCTCCAATACTACCAAGGCCAGGTTTCCACGGTGCTTCCAGGTGCATTTGATTATCGGTGTCGCCGCCGCTGGAGTTTTCCACGTAAAGGTCAAGAATCTTTTCAGCCACCTCTACACCATCTCTGCTTTCCTCCACCAACTTTGCCATTTGAGACTTTGGCAGCCTCATTTTCACTGTCATCCCCCCTGAACTCCGTCCGAGCCCATCGGACCCTAGACTCGATGATGGTCTAACCATGGAAAGGTCAGAAACCGATCTCCTTGACAACATCAAGCACTCTAACCTGTCCTTAGCACTCATATGAATGCCTCCTGACCGTACCCTCCGAGGTGCCTTTTCTTCTGGAAACTTTGGCAACTCTACCAGGAAATAAATTTTCCTCGGCTTCAGGTCCTGTTGTGGCTCTAATGGCTTAGCACGAATTCCAAAATGCTTTACAGCCTCTGAATCCAATAAAACATGCCCTGGATAGTCCTTGACTACATCCCAAGCTCGAATTGGAGTCTTTAACTTGAACGTTTCCCCATCAATTTTCATCACCTTTGCCTTCTTTCTTCCTCCCATGCTGTTCCCCATTTCTTTGTACCAGGCCTACAGAGATTCTTTTTTTTATGTTGGTTGGTTTCCCCCCTAAAGTTGGTGTGGAGTTATTTTTTAAGGCGTGGAATTTATAAATAGATAAAGCAGTGTTAATGCTACTTGGTATTGTTTAATTACTGTGTGATGCAGGGGAGGCGATGGTGTGAAATTGGGGAAATTCTATAAAGATTCCAAAATATAATTTCATGATGACTTTTGTGAAATTAAGTGGGAAAACCCAATTCTGTTACGACAAATTTCTGTCCAGTTGAGACCAAAAACAAAAAATGTAATTGAATTGGCCAAACCAGCGTTGAAATCATTACGAACTTTTTTTAACTTGGATGTTAAATACGGCCATTAAGCTAAAGCAGTGGGTCCGTTTCATATTAACGTCACATCATTTCCATGAAAAGTAAGAGCCTGTGGGCCTTGGGATTGGGTGTGCCTGGTTGGATAACCTTTGAAGTAAGGATAAGAATGAACTGAAAAGGCTCTAAACTAAAGGCAAATCTTATGGCAATTTCACTCTTTCTCCACGAGTGATACGGGTTATCATCATATGAACTTGAACCGATCCTTTCTCTGTTTAATTATTCCACTAATATTTTCACTGTCATATACATGTCTTCATGGGTAGAACTTGATCCCCTAATTTGGAAGTATTAATTTTGAATTTTGAAATAAAATTTATACATATAAAAACAGAGGCAATCGCTGTGAAAGACGGAGCTAGGGACTAGGAGGGGCCATGGCCACCGATAAATTTCTGGAGTCTTTTGGAATATTGTTACTTGAATTCCCTTGTTCACTTATCTTCATTTTTGTTGTCTTTTTTTCCTTTGCCTTATGATTCAGTGGTTGCCTTCAATTCTATTCTCCTTTTTTTTTTCGACAATCGATTTCTTACGTAAAAAATTCTTACCTTTAATTTTTCTTTTGATTTTCCTCAATTTCTTCTTTTCTACAATTATTTCTATTATTTTACTTATAGAAGACATTATGACAACATTTAATACAATTAATACATTGAGTGCAAAGACAATAATAGAACAGTTTTTTGTTTTAAAAAGATTAAAAAAATAGATAACATAAAGGGTAAATTATAAAAAAAATACCTTATGGTTTGAAATAGAATAAATTTGCTTCCTAAGATTTAAAATTTGAAACTTAATTACCCTATATTTACTTCCTTTACAAAAAGATAAAAATGGTAAGATCGGATTTACTGTAGGTGGCTTCATCATTAGAGTGATTTAAATTTAATGTGGATAGAACAACTACTGCGAGTTCAAATGAGGCCGGAATAAGAGGAATATTACAAGGTAATGATGAGTTAATTAAAGTTATATTCTCAAAGACGATTGGTTTGGGGAATTCTAATTTAGCAAAAATATTGGCAACTAGAGAAGCTTTTCTAATTTCCACAACTTCTACATGGTGTCAATCATTTAATTTGTGAATAAAAAGTGATTCACAAAATAGTGTAATATAGACAAACAGTTTGTAAGTAGGTCTCTTGACGAATGAGTAAATGACTCTTACATATGAATAGTTTGAAAATTTTGATAAAAATACCTTAATAGTTCCACGTGGTATGTCAAGGAGAGCACTATGTGGCAAACTCTCTTCTAATACACATGCATGTCATGCCACATGATATGTCAAGAAGGCGAGCACAAATTTTGAACCCAAATCCTCATGTAAGCACAAGAAGTTCTTTGCCACCGACTCCAAGCTTTTATACTTGATTATATATTGCTTTTGGTTCTTTTCTTTT